AATGAGAGCCAAGTTCAATACTATAATATATGCCTTGGTTGTTGACTTCAACGACAAAAGAAGTGAGATCTAAATGGGTGCCAAGTTAGGATAATATATTGAAGCCTAAGGTGTGACTTGGCTACTTTTCATATACGAATTATTATTATAAGTACCTACTAAAACAGTAATGGAAGAGTGAAGATGATTTTCCGAAGAATAAAATAAGAACTCAAAGCTTTAGAACTTGCAAATGCTATAATATATAATTCGTAGCCAAGTCAGACCTTATGCTTCAATATAATATCCTAACTTGGCACCCATTTAGATCTCACTTCTTTTTGTCGTTGAAGTCAACAACCAAGGCATATATTATAGTATTGAACTTGGCTCTCATTTTACATATATGTTTTTGGTGGGATATCATTACTTTTTATATGTAAATTATTATAACCTAACCTAACCTAGCCATGACGTATTATATAAATAAAGTTTATTACTATATAATATAATTCAGTTACTAATATTAATAATAATATTTATTATAAAATATTTTCCGTTGTATATACAGAGTATAAAATATATGTAAAATTAATATACAATTATTTTAACTCTTTTTGAGTATATTTTTAATTATCATAATTTTATTGACTGTAGTTTCTACTGTTGGGTGGATAATTCATAATTTGTAAGAATAATTATTTAATTATTTTAATTGTAATATTAAAAAAAAATAATATTAATGACATACATAGATAGAAAAAAAAGTATGTTGCTGCGCGCGGGTCGACAATATCGACACATGTTCGGCTAGTCGTATTTTTGGAGCGGCGATACGGGAAAGGTTATTTAAGTCAACATTACATTAAATTAGAGGCAATTCATTAATAAATTGAAAAATTAAACATAATAGATAAAATAATTGCAAAATTATAATAAAATTAAAAATTAAAAAATTAAAATTAAAAAATTAAAAATTAAAAATTAAAAAATTTTAAATTAAAAATTTTCAAGTTTCTGATTTTTTCCTTTGTATTTACCTAACTACCTATCTGTATGCCAAATTTGAACTTTCTAGGTCATCTGGTACTGGGTTAGAATTTTGATCTATAGGTAAGTCAGTGATAAAAATGACGATTTTCGGACGTTAATATCTAAATAACGGTTTGAAGTGTGTTTATGAAATTTAGAGCACATATGTATCTCGTTAGTCTCAATATATGAGCCAAATTTGACATGTTTATGTGGAATAGTTTTTGAGTTATGAGGGGGTCAAAAGTGGCTCCAAATGGTTCGTGTAATATTACACACGGTGCTGCTCGCCAGTTCTGTTAGCTAGAACTTGGCTTGACACGCTACCGCGTGTCTAGATATGTTACCGTGGGATGATATCAAATTTTGACGAAAGTGGACATTATATTTTATCATCAGGGAATGTCAATTATTACGATAATAAATTATTTTTAACTGTACCTAATAATACGTTGGTACCTACTTACCTATATTTATAAATTAGTTTTATTAGGTAATTATATTATTATCAATTATACTTTTATAACTATTTTATTGGTCGATAATAATAAAAATATAATACATTATTAAGTTTTATTTTGATATGTAATTACCTACAATTATTTTATACAAATTTAATATCCATAATCAAATAAATAAATACTAGATTATAATACAAGAGATTGTAATTATTATTAATACGTATTATACTATAGTATACTATTATTATATTATATTTAATAATATTAAGTTTTTTTTTTTTAAATTTTTACTATAGAATTTATAATCTATACACAAGGGCATAATAAGAATATGTGCTACAATAAATTTAGAACATGAATAGGATGAGGGAAGAAACCATCCAGTGATCGCACTTCTTTAATAGGTAATATTAAGTTAAAAATTACTATTCCATATATTTATTTATATTTTATTTAAAATGTTATGTATTACTAACTATCTACTCAATAATACTATCACCGTTAACTGGATAAACTACCTAGTTTATTAAGTAATCATATTAGTTATATTATACACAAAGACTAAAAGTTCAATATAATAAATTAACCACCGTTTGGGTAATGTTTTAAAATATATCCATGGTTACATAGGTATTGTCGAGTTGACTCGGGTAATTTTGTAACATACTATGCATATTTTTAAAGTTACTAAGTAAGTTAAAAAGTAAAACATTGTTTTATAGCTTATTTTCTTACAACGAATCAAAATTTAAGTTTTCGTTTTTACTTTTTAGTTCTATATGTATTACTTTTGATATTTATAAATTATTTTTACCAATAATAAAAAAATGTAATCCGTCACAGGACTTGACAAATTATTCTTATTATTCATTTTGATGATTATTCACCATATATTATTTACCCCCATACATATATATTTATACCCCCAAGGCGGGGATGCAAGATTCACATAAAAAAAAAGATTAACATTATAAAAGGAGTGGCCTGAAACAAACCTCATAATTGCGTAAATCCTTAGTCCATGTCTGCCACCCCTAAAGAAAAAATACTTATATTAGTTAGATACTGTGGACCATAATACATATTTAGGAGTTAAAGTATTATAGTTATATAGTATAGTTATATACTTAGGGCTAGGATTTATATGCATTTGCATATTTTTTTCCGTAAGTCCAAATTGATTGGTTGTCAGATTTATCCACGATTTGGCTTATTCTCGTTTAAATAGAACCAATTTTTTTTTTTTGTTTATTTTCGCATATTTTGAACAAAATGCATATAATTTCATATTCATAGATTTTTGAGAATTTGATTTTTTTTAACTTAAATTTTAAATTTTTATAAGTTATTGTTAATTTTAAATTTTGTTTATTTCACGAAATCAATAGTTTTTGGTTTATCAGTTGAATTGTCGTAAATATATAGTATAAATACTACTTATCTAATCTTATCGGATATACACTATCGGACGACTGTTAGAATTACTTACGCACATTGTTATACAGTGAGACAGCACAGAATTATTTCTTTAGTACGTCGTGTGTTGCGTAAATGTGAGGACATTAATACTTAATAATTTGAGCGGTTTTAATAACAGTATCAGTTTTATAATACATCGAAAGTTCAAAGTGAAAGTGCCAACTGCCAAGCTACCTCTATTTGTTGAAGAATTTTCCAGTGATGTTTTTAAAACAGATGGTAAAATATTATATTGTATTATTTGTGATCAAGATACAAAACGTTTTCAGGTAGTACAGCATTTAAATACAAGGAAGCATAGTATAAAAATATTAATTTAAAAGATAAATCTAAACAGTTATTAATTAAAAATACATTAGAAAACCAAAATAACAAGCAAATTTTTCTCTAGATTTATGTCAAGCTATTTTAGAATCTGATATACCTTTATGGAAGTTAAATCATCCATCATTTAAAATTTTTTAGAAAAATATACTGGTAAATGTGTTCCTGACCAATCTACAATTAGGAAAAATTATATTTCTACAATTTATGACAATACTATATTTTATCGTATTCGTTTGGAAATTGGTGATGGCCCAATTTGGGTTTCAATACATGAGACCACAGACGTTGACGGTCGATGTATTTCTAAAGGCATAGTTGGTCTCAGCCACAAAGACAATTATTCAAAGTCGTATCTAATAATGTGTGAAGTACTTGAAAAATGCAATTTCCAAACTATTGGCAAAATATTGAATGATGCGATGAACTTATTATAGCCATCAGGAGTGAAGTACGATAAAGTATTATTTTTTGTTTCTGACGCCCCATCATATATGGTGAAATCAGCGGTAAAAATTATTTTAAATGTGAAAGATCAACGTGGGAATCGAAGTTGGTTTAAATGTAATACCTATATTTGATGTATTTTACTTTCCAACGTACATCGTATTATTATAATTAAGGGTAAAGTAGTTATATATTATACTCCCGCACTACCCCCAAGTCACTCCCCCCCTGTCCGGGCAAACAGCAACAGCTACACCTTAGTCGTCACTGTCGGTGCTGACACCACCTCCCCCGATGGGAGCATCACTACCGACCATACTAATTTCCCGGGTCCAAGGCCGCCACCACCCCGGTGTAAGGTGGGTGGCGACATATTATCGCTAGGCCATGCGCGCGCAGTGTCTCCGGGTCCTGGATATGAAATCTTTACAGCCTTCATACGTTGGGTGACTGTACTACGGATTGACGCATACTGGTTCATGTACGGTAACGACAACTTCTCCACCCACTCACGTTGCTTTGTCATCATCACTATCATCGATCGTGTCCAGCTGCCGTCAAAGCTCACAATATGTTCCGTTACCTTAAGAAGCGTCTGATGTCCTTTTTTAAAATCTTAAAAATATGGTGTGTATACTAGTATTTAATTATAATATTATTATTGTAATTCAGGGACGGATCCAGGGGGGGGGCTAGGGGACCAGCCCCCCTCACAGACATATTTTTTATAAATATAAACATTTTATATTAAATAATCAATAATTTATTTATCACATTGATTACCTATACCTACTATTATGACAACATTTTTAAATTAAGAATAAAGTTTAATATATTTTATTATAATTGTAAAAAAATTGTTGGGGCCTCCCCCAGATCTTTACTCTGGATCCGTACCTTTTGTAGGTACTATATTAGACAGGTGTTTTAAAGAAATGTAATATATAATTTTGTTCATAAATTTATTATACTGTAGTTTATTTGTTTTGTCAGAGAGATGAACTGTAGTTTATGAGAGAAATTAATGTTTGTTTAGAAATTATTCACCACCATCCGTTATTGTGGGTACATTTTCATATACCGTAACAACACTTTCAAATGACAATAAATACTTATTATTATGGGTATAGGTATAGAATACTGTTTAAAACTAATATTATATCACCATATTTTTAATTTGAATTAACGGACGGTACGTCCCTCATGTAAATTATTATTGAAAAACTTGGTAGGTATATAGATATATATATATAATAAATTATTAATTTTAACAAAATATTGTGTAGGTAATAAATTGTAAATTTCATTAATGATAAGAATCAAAAGATATAAGATAATTTATTACTATAATTATAATAGTTCTATGATAATACAGGCTAGTACAAAATTTAAGAAGCCTGGTCGGTAACACTATTAACAGTACCTGGTAGTTCTTTTTTACTAAAGTAATGCACATTGCTATTGTAAGCAAAAGTAATAAATATAAAAAAAAATTGATAGGTATTTGTAAGTTTTTTTTAAAAGATAAATCTTATCATTATCATTTATCAACAAATATTTTAACTGTAATGATTTAAACTATGTATAATATAATATTAACGTTATATAAAAAATTACATTGGTACAGAGTGTAAAAATCAAAAAAATTTCGCAGTCGGTAGGATTCGAACCTACGCTCCCAGAGGGAATCTGATTTCTAGTCAGACGCCTTAACCGCTCGGCCACGACTGCTCGGTGAAGAAATTATGCAAAATCATATGGATTTAACAATACAGCCATACATAATTCCAGAGAGAATTTCATAAGAACTATTCACTAAACATAATATTTTTTTGTTTTAGACAATCAAAGATAAAACTAAATTCATATACCTAATAAAATAATTCAATTTAAAAAAAAAAAATTCATACATTAATTAATTGGTTGTATTCCTACACAGGGACGGCGCCAAGGAGTGGCAAGGGTGGGTAACTGTCCCCCAGGATAAGTTCTCGCCCTCCTCTCACCCCCATCAGATATTTTAACGCCCCCTAGGAAAAAATTGCTGGTGCCGTTCCTGGTACAAGTATTTTATACATTACAAACTAAAATACAAAGTACAACTATAAAACTGTATACAAATAAGTAGGTAGGTACCTACCTATTTCGGTAAATTTTTCACTGCTACTTTTTTTCCGATTGCCACTCAAAACCTAATAGATAGGTATGTAGTATTTTTACTATTAGTTAGGTACGAATTATAATCGATAATTTTATGCTATGAGTTGAGGCCTGTGTAACAAAATACCTACAAATCAACAAGTCAACAGTTGTTGCAAATATTTAGACGCGAATGTTGATAAAGAAAAAATGACATTACAAAATTATTAATTGTACGCGTCTGTTACTTCAGTAGGTACCTAGTTCTGACGTCATACTTTCCAAATTCAGTACCTACCTACTTTACTAGGCCAACCAGAATATAACTTGACTTTTGGTTTCTCAAATTGTTGTTTTTTTTAGTAGTCATATGACGAACCAACATTATAACTACATATTATTTTTGTTTTGCCTCACCACAGGATTACTAGAGAGTCTGCTAATAATATCGATTGGTCCATTGAGTTGAACATCAATTTATCAGAAGATTTGGCCAGTAAATTGTTGGTGGATTCTTTCATGAATTTGCAAGATGTTTCATTTAGTGAAATACCGCCTAACCAGGTGGTCGGGAAATTGAACAGAGAATATATAGAAGTGCTGAACCATATCATCAACATAAAAGTAGAAGTCATCTCATTTTTGGTTTGTTCATTTCACTGATTTTTTTATTTCGTTTCTCAGGTGAGTGACCTGATTAATCGCATGAACAATAAGGTAAAGCGTGTTCATTTGAATACAATTGTAAAATCTGCAAGAGCAATATTTCCACGCATAAAGATAAATGGTAAATATTCCATACCTATAACATTACAATAATTGTTTATGAGTCAATAAAATTATATTAGGTAGGTACCTATACTTATGAAATAATAACAATTTTTTTCTTAGGGAGCAGTTTGTTATTGTTCTTTGTAAATACAATGGACTTTGATACAGGTAAGGTAGCCAATAGTCTTGTTGGCAGTTGAAATATTTTAGACAACTAACAGAAGAAAACTTAATACCTATAATGTTTTATTTTAGATGAAGCATTGTACATGACAAATCTATTGTCGTCACATATCATCATATTCACAATTCTTAATCATTATCTGACTGTGTTGAATGTCGGTTGCTTTTATCGTAATCTAGTAAATATAAACACCTACCTATTATGGCTAATTATTCTACTACTATAATTACATTTATAGTATACATGTATAGTATTTATTATTCATGTTTTATGCATGAACAATCACAAAACATTTAACGGATCATTACCGAGCTCATGATCCGCTAAACATGATTTAGTGACCCATGTTTGGTCATCAAATTGGATTTAACCATTGAATTTATATAATGCAACTTTGCATTAATGTATTTGTTAATAAGTGATATTAACATTTTAACATGCCTATAAACATTTTTTTTCGTGACAAAATATATTTTTAAACCTAGGTATTATCATGGCTAAATATAGGCATATTTAGCCATGGGTATTATACTATTATTATCATAAAAAATATGTGAATTTCCTTTATTGTAATATAAAACTAAGTATGTTAAATTATTAAAAATATGTCTGCATACATATTATTATATAGGTACCTACTACAAAATACTGTATGTCTGTATGATTTCACAGTAATCCTTCTGTAGTTCTGTAAGATGGTTAAAAAATCCACTAATCCATTTCATTTTTATCAGTAATACACCTAGGTAGGTACCTAGTTAAATTTTAAATACTTGGTAATTTTCTCCAATCTCCAATATTTTAAACATTAGAATATAAATATATATTTAACTTTCTAGCTACTTTCAAACAGGCTAATCTCTAATACGATACCTACATAAAATATAATTATGAAGTATATTACCAACAATAATATTATTATTATTTTTAATTTAAGAAAAACTGTGTTTTGTAAACAAAATATAATTGGAATAATTTAAAAATTTTAGAAATCTATAAATATCATTTCATTAACCACTGATGTTAAAACAAAATAAGAGAATTAGTAAAACAACTTTACTGTTCATAACTTAGTCTATAAGAAGTGTTATAGGTACCAAATAAAAAACAATTTATAATGTCATGTAATAAGGAATATTAACACTTACCTTATTAATTAAGTTTGTTATTTTATCATTAAAATGTTAATATTTAGAATTATTTGTTACAGTCTTCAACTTCACAAAATACTTATAAAGCTCGCTTGAATGATTATGATTATGGTGAATATAAAATAAAATTATGACAGAACATATTATTTGTTCAGAACAGGTTATTATTATTAAGTCACAATTATTTTTGAATGAATATTTTTTTTAGCTGTATACCTGTGTAAAAAAGAAATTGAAGAAAACATTCATGGAGATTTGCTGAACTATAAAGTGAAAAAAAGTGCAAAAGCTAAAGTAGATGTTAATAAATGGGAATTTGAGTTTGTACCATCACATTATAAATTGCTCACATCTAATAATACAATTGTAATGTTATAAAATTTGTTTTGATTAGATATTATATTAATAGTAATTGCTAACATAATTTTGAAATAAAATATATTACATAATATTTGTATTTTTCAGCCTGCAGTTGCCACAACATAAAAACCATGAATTACAAGAATTTTAAATGCAACTACTCCTAAATCAGATATTCAGTATATTATACCGTACAAATTGTATCTTAATTAAATCTAATTTTTATGTTCTAAAATAAAATTACTCCTATCATGATAATTCTTAATTTCAATAATTTAGGGCTTATTATAATACCCGCTACTGAATACTTCTTAATTGTTTTCATATATATTGTAGAATTCACTCTATCTTTATAATTTTGATATAGAATAGAATAACTTAAATCAGTCTTAGACCGAAAAAAAAATGAGGATTTTTATTTAATCAGTATAAGAACACATGTATTATTTGATTTTTTACATCACCAACATTCATAATAATATTGAAGTTATGGATTGTGAACCAATTAATGGATAATTTTTTTTAGGATATAAAATTATTATAATCTATAACATTATGGTATTGTGTTAGTTTAGGTTAGCCCGTAATATATTTATATTATTTAGAATAGAACTCTAAAATTCTTATTGTATTAATTGTCAACCATGGGTGATCAGAAATTATCAACCCAAATTCAATGTGAGGCTTCTAAAAAAAAAAAAATTGTAAATCCTTAGTCTGTTGGATAATCTAAATATAGGCACTAAAGCATAGTCAACATAAAATTATCTCATCACACTAATGTTAACCTTTTTATTAATCATATTTATGTGTACCGCATAATGTTTTGCTTTATGAGGTAAATAAGGTGGGAGTTTTGACAAATATTTAACAACTTCTGATCTTATGTACCTTATAGAGCTTAACAACAAGGTATTTACATAGGTATAATAATTCAAAATTACAATAAAAATATGTAATCACTACCTACTTACATAATGTGTTCAATTTTTTGGATTAATTTTTATTTTTAAATGACTTCAATGTTTGTTTTTAATGTATTTAATTTATTAATTTTTTACTTTTTTATGAAATATTCCACTAGTTTTTGGCACAAAAATATTTGTATATGACTTTGATTAATTAATTCAAAATTATCAATAGTATCTTATAGGTTTTAAAATACATATTATAAATGTACAAGTTAATATATTATTAAACAAATAATATTATTTTTATTATTTTACTTATATTACATAACTTTGATTTGTTACAATAATAGTTTTCAATTTACATGCTTAATTATTCTGGGTCAATAGGTACTTAGAATCAAATGATCAATAACATAAAATAGTTGGTCAAGAGCAATATATTGTTATACAATGATAACTAATATTTTTTTTTAAATTCTGTAATACAATATCTTTTGGCACTTTTCACATTGAAAATATTATTATATTATACTAATTGGCAATTATTTATTAGTTATATTGAGTGATACAAAATGTAAATGTTTTAAATATACATTATTTAACATAATAATCTACTATATTGTTGAATACGTGTTGAGAATATACCTATTTATTATTTATACATATATTTATATATAAGTAGGTAATTACTAATTAGTATGGCCCTGATTTACATGCATTAACATGTTTTTGTTTAAATTCCAAAAATATAAGCTACAATTTTGAATTATAGTCAACAAATCCGGAAACCGGAATACAAAATTTTATTTTGTATATTTTGTCATTTTTTGATGTGTACCTACTCCATATTTCTGTTTTTTTACGAATACCAAAGTTTGTCATACCAATTTGTTCTCGAATTTGTTCGTTGGGTTTTCCGGACTACTCCGGACGAGTCAACAATTAGGAAAAACTATTTATTCGATGTATATGAACAAACATTGCCAAAATACACGATTTTGTTTTGAGTCAAAAAATATGGATAAAAATGTTCTAATATTATACCTAATACAACTTTTACTTCTAGGTAGGTACATGTATTTACACAGTGACCTAGTTGTAATCTGCTGTACAGCAGAGCGACATCCAATTACTCGCATTTTTTCCCCTGCCCTTTTGAAAACTATTGAGAATTTTTACTTTTGACCCTCCTCAATTACCAACTAAATTCATTTTCCTAAGCATTTTTACTGTCATAAAAGGAGATGACAGACACAAATTTAAAAATTTAAAAATTTAAAATAAAACACATATCATTGTAAAACCAATACATTCATTGCTCGGAATCTAAAATAGGGATGATCATGTTCAAAAAATCACTGTGTATATTTCGAATAATATGTATTTCATAATATGCATTGATTTTCATTCTCTTGAACTTTCAAACATTTAAAAATATTAATCTTGTTGAATTTTCCATTCATTGTTGAACATTACTATTTTTTCTTTTCAAATACATCAACAAAATATCTATGCTATTATATAGCCCAAACAATCATTATTTTTTATTTTTATTTTTTTTTAAGTACAGTATTCTGTAGGTTAAGTATAATTAAATAATCAAAAGTTAAATTAAAAAAATAAAATATATAAGCTTTTATTCAATTATTGCTCTTAATACAATACCTACCTATTTAGAATACATTTTTATGAAATGCTTGACATTTTGATGCATTTATATTGGGTATATTTTTCACTCATTTCCTCCATTTGAATAACTGTAAAATTAAAACAACACTGTAAACAGTTAAATAATAAAAAAAAATTAAATGAACACCTTATAGGTATCTTCAATAACCTCTGGGAAATATTGGAATTATTCTTTGTTTGTCTGTGTTACAATTTGAGGTGGCCAAGTGTTCCAATTCATTGTTATAAAATCTTTTAACTATGTGTATTTGGTATATTTCCATAACTGAAAGTAAGTATCTATAAATTATTACATGTTTTAAACCAGATTTCAATGATTAGTACTTACCAATAATAATAAAAACTGTAGTAATTATAATTTTACATGGATGTGTAAATAGATAATAACACAATAAAGTAGAAGATAATGCGTAAAAAGTGCAGTGAAACATCAACCACTGTCTAATGAAGAGAAGATTATGCTGGAAAAAAAATATTAATAAGTGATTAATTATTTACCATTTTTTTTTTTTTTTTTATGGTTAGGTTATTAGTAGGTTTTGGTATGGTAATTATAATTATTGTTACCATAAATGCTGCTTTCTTCAATTTATTGTTGAAATGAATTATCAAACATAGTAAGAAAAATAAAAGTAAACTTTTAAAAGTTGCTTTTACTATTGAAGATGAGTCTGAAACAGATAAAAAACAGTATTTTTGGTTCATTATAATCAAGAAATGTTTTTCTTTTTTTAAATAATTAAATTATTTTGGATAAAATTAAGATTTTATTTAGTATTTAGCAGTTCGTAATTTAAACTATATGTTTTTTTATAATTATAATTTTTTTTATATGTTATAATTTCTGTGCAATAACAAATTTTATTTGCAAATTTCTAAATTTAAAAATAAATAACAGCTTATGAGTTTTAGGTCTCGACTTGTATTTTGTGTGTATCAGTTTTGGTTTATATAAAATATTTCAGAGTATCAAGTATATGTTGAACAATGTGCTACATAATAGTACATTAGTACACAATATAACAGTTAGTATTTGCAAGCATTGGTATTTAAAAATGTAGTTAAAAAATTTACCTAACAATTCTTTTCTTGACAAATAACAAAAAAAAAAGGTAAGCGTTCCAATAAATTAGGTAGTTTTTTTAATAAAATTTAACTTATAGTAGGTATTGTATGTATTTGAAATTGACTTACCAGTTATCATTGAGTTATTAAATATACACAATCGAATGGCTATTAAGATGCATAACACAAAAAAACCCTAAAAAATATAAATTATTTAATAAATTATAAAAATTTAAACTATGATAACAATAATAATTAATATCTTAATACAATAAATTATTTCAAATAAATAACTTAAGCAAGGTGTATTTATCAATAAATACACCTTGAACATAAGTAAATGTTTGTCATCTTTTGTAAACAAGTATAGATAATATTTTTCTCAAATTACTAAAATAACTATATAAATACATTATTTTTTCTACTTTTATATATTATCTAAAACATTTACAACATACCCGGGGCAATAATCAGGTATGGCCAATTTTTTTTTCAAAAAACATATTGAAAAAAAGGAATATTCAGAAAAAAAATCTTTATCGATCATTACAAAAACCGAATATGTCCAATAAATAGTATTGAAATAAAATAATAAAAATTGATTTTTAAATTTCTGTTGGGCGCAAAAATCAAATACGTCCAGATATAACTTTATGGTATACATTATGGTTATTGCTCCCAACACTACTATTCAAATTATAATATTGCCATGAACATAACATTTAAACCATAGGGAATGGGTTTAATCGATGTATATCTTATCCTTACAAAAATAATAGGTAACACCAAGTTTTTTTAATTTTTGCTTCATTTACCAATTTATTAGATAATTTCTTATGTTTCCTGAACAATTTTGAAAAATGGACATACCTGGGTTTTGCACTGGGGCTTTCATATAATATATTATTGTGTAGTTAAATAATGCAATACAAAACTATAAAACCACGAATTAAAATAATATAAATATATTTTAATTCGTGTATAAAACAAAAATGTTTGATAAATTTCTGTAAAAAGTGTTGGCTGCACTTAGTCTGGTAGTGGACGCACAGCCAGCATAATATTTTGTCTGTCCTGACAATAAGTAATAAATTATAAGTAGGTATATAGTATTATGCTGTTAGAAATTTTTTTAATCAATATTAATTTGCATAGTTTTATATAATTTTATTTTATTTATTCATGGAGTACCTACATGAATATGCTAACCCATTCGACACAGGCTATCACAAAGAAAAAATCGAACAGACTGAATTATCTAAACGAGATTTTCATGCCACAGACAGTCAAAAGCACGGTTTAAGATATCTTAAACCGTGGTCAAAAGTCATAATTATCATTGTTATCGTAGTT